AGTCCAATCAGAGACTCTTACAGGATCTACTGACACACACAGAGAGAACAGCTCAGAGAGCATCAGGAGAACCACATAGTACATTAAAGAGAAGATCAAAGATGGACATGGACTCTCCACTGAAAGATCCATCAATCTGTTCCTCTGTCTGCTGGAAGTGAAAGATCAGACTCTGTCCAGAGAGATTCAGGAGTTTGTGAAATCAGACAAACACTCAGAGAAGAAACTCTCTCCTGCGCACAGCTCAACAATCGCCTACATGCTTCAGATGTCAGAGGAGCCGCTGGATGAGCTGGACCCAAAGAAATACAACACATCAGATGAGGGGAGAAGAAGACTGATACCAGCTGCAATCAACTGCAGAAAAGCCCTGTGAGTGTTACAATGAAAAAATTGAATGTTTATGCAAAGTAACAATCCTCTCTGAAAGCTACATCTTCATTATCATGTATATTTGCACTATGTCTGTACTTTCTTCTGCACTGGAAGCTCCTTTCGCCAAGACAAATTTCTTGTGTGTGTGTAAACATACTTGGCAATAAAGTTCTTTCTGACTTCTGAATTATTACTTATGAAGTTCACAATAATTTAACTTATATAAATTTAGAAATTTGAATATAAAAGTCAGATAAGAGTAGAGTCAGGTTTATATGTATTTTTTTCACTGAAAATTGTGTTTTTCTCTGTTTCAGTCTTGCTGGCTGTAATATCACTGCTCAGTGTTGTAAGAGTTTGTCATCAGCTCTACAATCCTCAAACTCTGTCCTGAGAGAGCTGGATCTGAGTAACAATGACCTGCAGGATTCAGGAGTGAAGCTGCTCTCTGATGCACTGAAGAGTCAGAACTGTCAGCTGCAGATACTGAGGTTTGTGAACACAGTGGTGCATTCACACCCACCACCACCCAAATGTGGGAATCTTTTTTTCACAGGGGCAAATAATTTTCCATTCTAGCTATTTCTCATGTGATTCATTAGAGGCTGTTCAAACATAATGTTTTTCAACATGTGATGCAGGCTATTTTATACATAGTAATAAAAAATGGTCATTACTCACCAAAGAAATAAAAAGCAATTTATTAAATAAAATTGTCTCGGGTTACGAGTATAACCTGGGTTCTTTGAGAAGGGGAACAAGACACTGCGTCTGATGCAATGCTTTGGGCAATGCCCTCAGTATGACCAGTGTCTGAAATGTGTCAAAACACTGCAATTCCATTGGCAGATGACAGTCCATGACATCACTAATGGTGCGCCTGATAGTATAATCGGACACCTGCAGTTTACATCATCAACTTCTTTGATTGAAAGAGACGTTGCATTTCCACAGACATGCCAAAAAGCTTGGATGATGAGACTGGCACATTGAGGAAAAAGTCCTTCTCATTTGTATGGACCACCTGCCGGCCCAAAAAGCGGAGTCCAGCGGTCTGGATGAAGGTTTAATGTGCATTCAGTCTTTTACTTGCGCTTCTGAATTTACCAGGATTTAGTTTCAATTTTAGTCTAGCTCCGTGTTCAATCTGACTCCAATTTCAAGTGATCATTAAATTTAGGTGATATTTCTAATTAAAAACTGATCACAAATATTGATTGTTTATTAATTTACATATTTAAATTACATATTTGAATTAACTTACATATTTGAATTTCAATTATTCGTTCATTAAGGACCCAGTATCGCTTAGCAGTTCACTTGGCCAACAGTGAACGCACGGCACAAACTCGCCAGTTCTGTACTTACTCAGAGGATACAGGGTGATTATAATACCTTCAAGTAGACTGCACCCTGCAAGCACATAACAGAAAGTGTGCTTTTTTCTATAATCACGAAAACTGTAACCCGTTAAGCCAGTGACGGTCAGAAATCAGAAGGTCCCTATGATTTCGGAAGAGATCAGAATAAATCAAATATAACAATTTATTATTAGTCAGGTTCAATTGTCTCATGCCAATTACATAAACAATTAGAAGCCAATTCAGAAAGGATAATGCAATTGTGAATCACATTGTAGCTGCATGGCAATAGGGTATATGTCGAATGTCACGTGACCACACCGGAACCCTGGGTTACTCGCTTCCGCTTGC